TCCTGTGCCACGCTGCTCGGCAGGGTTCGTTCTGAGCGCTACAAGATGCTCTGAATTAAAACAAGCAAGCAGGCAGACCAGACAATCCCAGTGTGCCTGTGACCCCTCACCCCCGGACGTGTTCCTCCTCTGTTCCAAGTACTATGTGACCCCAGCTCACGCTTTCAAAGGCTCCTTTTACCTTGGTCTGGGCAGCACAGGCTCGAGCTAAAAGCGTCTTCCCTGTTCCTGGGGGCCCGTACATAAGGACTCCTTTGGGCGGCTGTATACCCAAGTTCTCAAATTTCTCCTTATGATTCATTGGCAGGACAATGGCCTCCACGAGCTACAGCAAAAGAAAAACATCAACACATCGAACCATTCTACTCCACAGATCCAGGCTGCCTGCTTCCAGCTGAAGTTCAAACACTGTTGTCCTCAGTCACACCAGAAATTACACAGGAAATAAAGTATCATCACCTCTTGGATTTGTTTATCCAGCCCCCCGATGTCGCTGTACTGCTCTGTGGGTCTCTCATCCACCTCCATGGCTTTCACCCGTGAATCATATTCCGTAGGCAGAGTCTCCAGGATCAGGTAAGAGTCTTTGTTCACCCCCTGTAAACACAAGCCCTTTGCTTTTCACAAGCCCTTCAGACAGCAATTAATGAACAGGCAATCAAAGGTGATTCACTGGGCCTCAAGGATGCAGGAATAACCGGCTTTGCCAACGGCACTCTGCAAATCACCACAGCTTGGCACAGTGGACAACGCCACCGCTAACCTACCGCGTTCTAAAAAAGAGGGGTCCAGTTTACTTAGGACACAAAAGATTGGCTTTAGAAAGCTTAGTAGGTGATATCTAAACTTTCAGCACTTAATTGTATAAAGAACCCTGCTCCCAAACTACTTTTCTACACTACAAATATGACTGAACCCATAATATCTTTTAATTAACATTCTAGTACAGAAATGGTCTTGGAGAAAGATCTGGACAAGATTTGTCTCCTTTCTGAAGGGCAAGACATACACAATTTTCTGGCCAACGTCACTCACCACTAAGTCTCCAGGTTTCAACTTCTCAGCATCAACCAACCCAATGACAGGCAGGAAATACGTCTGCAGGAGAGAAATCCACGTAAGCAAAGCAGCGGTACGAGGGGAAGGTCCTTTTCAGTGCTCCTCACACCTCGCTGGGCACACGGGTCTCACCTGCCGCGTAGAGGTCTTGATCACAGCACACTTGCCCTTCCTCTGGGAATCCAGGTCAATGTTTGCTCCATCCTCCTCCTGGTCATTGGGGTCAACATCCAGCAGCTGCAAACCAGAGGGAGAGATTTCACGACGATGTAACCAGGCTCACAGGATGACCCTGGGATTAACGCTTCTAAATTACACACAGTAAGAGAAATAAAACTTCCCATCATCCATCAGCAGCAGAATCCTAGAAGCACTAAAGCCCTCCTATAAAAATTAATTTCTCCCTTTCCTCACGAAGCAGCACACAACAGCGCATAGAAAGATGCTATGAAGTTCAGAACAAACGAGGAGCTCATGGCACTACTAAAGCCCTCCTATAAAAATTAATTTCTCCTTTCCTCACGAAGCGGCACCCAACAGCGCATAGAAAGACGCTATAAAGTTCAGAACAAACGAGCAGGTGATGGCACCGATTTCTCCTCCCGTTCCCACAGCTCAAGCCTCACATTCACTGAGCTTTAAAACACCCGTACGGACCAAACCCCTGTGGGAGTTTAACTTGGTGGGCAGCCAAACACCACACAGGCGCTCGCTCCCTCCCCCTCCTCCCTCGCCCCCCAGGGAATCGGGGAGAGAACTGGAGAGGTAAAGGTAAGGAGACCTGGAGGTTGAAATAAGAACAACTTAATAACTGGAGTAAAATAAAATTAAAATAGTAATGATAATAATGATGACAAATATAGATATAGATGAGTGCTGCAGAGTACAGCTGCTCACCACTCGCCCATAGTGATCCTGGAGGAGCAAAAAAGAACCCTGAACTCAAAACCACAATCCTGGAAGACCAAGCCCGAGTGATCCCCGAGAGAATCCCCCTGATTTCCCGTCAGCCCTGGTGAATACACTGCCCATGACATGACATGATCTGGAATATCCCATTGAGCCAAAGGCCAATTTGTTTTGTTAATTACTGCGCTTCCCCCTCCCAGTCCTTTGCACCTGTAAACTAGCAAACCACAATGTCCTTGTAAGTTATCAATACTCTTATAACAAATCCCACACTGAAACCAAAACACACCTATTCCAGCTACTGAGAAGAAAATTAACTCTGTCCTAGCAAAACCAGGACACTCCTTTCTTTAAAAATAAAAAACCATCAGCATTTTTTTGGCCTATCAGCAAAATAACTGAATTACAAAAAGAACGTGACGCAGTAACAGAGCCACCGCTTTTCATTCGCTGCGTCCCAAGTTTCACGACCCAGACAAGAAGCAGGTCAGTGACACGCACCTCCAGGTCACAAACCCAAGAGAAAAACCCAAAATTCCTGGTTGCAGGGGCAGCAGCAGTTTGAGAACACAGCACGGCTGCAGTTACCGATGAGCTTCCTGCCCTCCTCCCTCCCGATCCGTACGGCGCACACTTCTCACAGCGCCGCAGAAGAACGCGCCGCTCTCACCTCAATCACGTTAGAGACAAGGTACGGCAGGGTTTTGTTCACTTTGATCTTCTCACTGTTCTCTTTGATCTTGTCTTTCATGGCCTGAAGCTCATGGGTCACTCTCAGTACTTCGCTCTTCATGATCTGGAATCAGGACGCGGAAGAAAGAGACGGGAATAATAGCAGGAGACAAAGGCAGGACCAAATTCATACGTTATTCTGAAAGTAAAGCAGCTACAAAAACCAAAGTCCGAGGGAACAGCGAGTATAAAGGGAAACAGAAAATAAAAAGAGCAAATTAGCTCTTAGGCTTCGATAAGACAGCACAGAATTTCTGTAGAAAACCAGAAACAAGCCAAACATATATTAGTAGCACAACAGAAAGCTCCAATTCCTACAGCTCTATATACAACTTCAACTTTTCTGAGGCTTTTACGACTAACTGTAAGGGAAAACGTCTGTAAGGAAAAAAAAAAGCCATCGAATGAGCTAAAATTGGTTATCCAATCAGCTAATCAATATTCCTGAGTAATTTCTGGGCAACTTCAGCCTGATCAGTGCCGACAGGGCTGCAGCATGACCCGGGTAAGGATGTGACCTCGGGAAGGCAACGGTGCGGTTTTTGTTTTTAATATCTGGAGATCCACAGGTAACAGACGTGTGTGCGTGTCCATGCGCACCCACACACACACCCACACCTGTGGGTTTAAGGAAGAATCACGTGCTGGAACACTGAAGTGATGAGATAGAACTGCCAGTATCACAGCACAGGATCAGAGCAAGCCGCAAGGACGAGCAGGGAACAGCAGAACCCAGGTCCCTGTCTGCTGAGAGCAGCGTTGTGAGAGCTGTACCCCCGCTGCTTCCAGAGGAACACAGACACGCAGGTGCTGCTTTTAGGAACACAGAAACACAGGTGCTGCTTTTAGAAAGCCAAGGTGTTGGGCAACACCACGCATATCAAGACCTAGAGATGAGAAACAAACACACCAACTGCTTCTGCAGGGGAAAAGTTCTTTTTTGTTTTCCTTAAAAGCAAAACATTCACCACTGGAGCAATCTCCAGTGCTGGTTCCCCACAAACCCAGCCAGGTCCCTTGGAAAACAATGGAACGTGGGCTCAGAGGACAACTGGGGATGAGAGGGACCTCAGGGAGCCTCTAGTTCCACCTCCTGCTCAAAGCAGGGTCAGCAACACCACGTTGCTCAGGGCTTTACCCAATTGAATCGTGAAAACTTCCACAGACAGAGACCACACAACTTCTCTGGAACAACCTGTTCCACTGTCCGACTGCCCTCACGGTGACAAGGTCCTGTCTGTGCCCCTGGGGAACCTCTCACTGTTAAAATTTATAACCAGCAATTTATGGTTTGGATTAACTCGGCCTAAGCTTCGATAAGATACAAACATTTATAGGGAAAAAAAGAAACAAACCAAGCATTTAACAGCAGTGTGACAGAAAGCTCCAATTCCTACAGCTCTACACGGAATTTCAACTTTTTGGAGACTTTTACTACAAAGTTTAAGGGAAAACACCGACAAGAGAAGGAAGTTCTGCAACTGCCAGCCAAGTCAGTGCACAGATACTCAGAGCTGTCTGGCAGACACCCACGTACATTCTCCTCCCTTTCCTGGTTGGTCCCACAGTTTGAACACACACACAGTCTGTGATCCCCACCAAAGCGACCGTAGAAGAACTCTCAGAAGAACTAGTTACACCTGAATCAGCTCACGTTATTCAGTTTCACAGGAAATCCACTCTTCTCTAAAAAACTCTCTCTTTTTAAAACTCTGGATGCCTAGATATAATTCTGTGCTGGAACATGTAACTATCCACAGGACAGAACTATTATAGGAGCCAGAGATTGTTACATAAAAATTCAAAAATTTAGAAATTTGCTTTAACGGAGTCTGGGAAACATTCAAAGAAAAACTGCATGAAGGGAGGGTGCCAAAGAACATTTCTGCCACCTCACTTACGATGCTCTTACTATAAAATAAAGGCAGCTGCTTTTACTCCTTACTCTATTCTGCAATTTAAGAATAAGAAGTAAATTTATATTTGCTGTCTTTAAAGAATAAGTATGTTAAGCAGTCAGAATTACTTGTAGAACCCGAAGCAGCAGGATGTAGTTGCCCTGTAGGATTTATGAAATAATTTATCTGAATATTGATAACATCAGGCAGTAGAAGCAAACTAAAAGTTATAACTAAAGCTTTAATTATGTGAAACAGGTCTCTCCTGGGACAGGCCTGCCCAGGTCTGTCCTATTTAACACCCCTACGAATGACCCAGACAAGGGGATGCAGTGCCCTCTCATCACCTTTACAGACAACACCAAACTGGGGAACAGTCTCGGTGCTCGAGGGCTGGGGCTGCCACTCACAGGGACCTCGAGAGGCTGGAGGCACAGGGGCACAGAAACCTTCCAAAATTCAAGGGCAAATGCAAAACCCCGCACCTGGGAAGGAAGAGCACCTTGCAATGGCACAGGCTGATGACTGGCTGGCTGGGGAGCAGCTCTGCCGACCTGGGGGTCCCCGTGGACAATACTGATGGTGGCAAACAGCACCCGGGCTGTACTAACAGGAGTGCAGCCAGCAGATGGAGGGAAGTGACTATTTCCCCCTGCTCAACACTCGTTAGATCCTATCTAGAGCACTGTATCCAGTTCTGGGGCCTCCACACAGCAAAGACATTGATAAACTGGACTGAGTTCAGCACGGGGCCACCAAGATGTCCCCCAGAAACAGCTGAGGGAGCTGGGCTTGTTCAGCTGGAGAGGAGAACTACTGGGGAAGGCATCAACGAGACAGAACCAGACACTTCACAGCACTGCATCGTGGACGGATGAGACAATAAAGACTGGAACAAGAGAGGTTTAGCCTGTAGGTAAAGCCAATCTTTATCCTCATGAGGGCAGCCAAGCAGTGGCACAGGACATACAGAGAAGTGGTGCCATCGCTGTCTTTAGGAGCTTTTAAGATCACAGAATCACAGAATGGTTTGGGTTGGAAGAGACCTTGAAGATCAACTAGTTCCAGCCCCTCAACAGCCCTGAGCAGCCTGGGTTACTCCTGCTCTGGGCAGGAGGCTGGACTAGGGATCTTCTCAAGTCCCTTCCAACCTGCTCCTACCTGACCCAGGCCGTGGAACAACTTCCCCCTCCCCTGCGCCGACGAGAGCCGGGAGGACTCGCGTTCCTTCAGCGAAGGTGTCCAAAGCTCCGCCGAACCAC